TTTGTTTTTTAAAGATTTTATTAATCGTATTATATCTTGCTGTACCACTGGAGCCATGATAGAGAATAATGATTGTATTTTTTGATGTAATAGTCCTTGAACCAGATGTGATATGGTCAATGAAGTAGTTGTTGAATGTATTAGCAATTTCTGTCGGGTCTTTTATTATTTTATCTGATAGCTGTATCTGTAAGATGGGTTCTGGTGTATTTTTATGCTGATTAATAACGTGCCACGAAGCTTTTGATTTATTTTTCGAGTTTGATATGTAGTAATTACTTTGGGCCTTTTGTGTTAATTTAACTACTTTTTTAAAAATTGTTGTATATGTTCTGAATTTTTTTATATTCTCAGTTGATGGTGATAGGCGATATTTCCATAGCAAATTTCGTTGTTTTTTACTACATAAACGTATACCTTTTGATATCCATTTAACATTTTTTTTACCTTTTACTGTAACGAACTTGAAAGGAAAACACAAATCATACAGCAGAAAAAACAATTCTAAGAAATTATCGTAAGCGTCATCTGGATTATCGGTTTCGTATACTTGTGAGAAAGATAAGCTTTGCAAGTAATTTTTAAATTTAATGAGATTTTCTTCCGATATATCGCGTTTTTCAGTACGCCACTGGCTTAATAGATACGTCTTATTAACCTCAAACTTAAACAACTGAGCTGTATGGTCCGATAAACCCAAGTCTATATTTTGACTCAGGCATTTTTGTTTTAAATTATGTGCAAAATTGTCTAAACAACTGTTGCTGATTGGGCGTGTAGGGGCTTTTATTATTAATTGTAAATTATAGTTCAAAAGAAATAGTTCAAAATCAAGGGTTGTTCTATTTCTTTTCAGGATATCTATGTTAAAATCCCCGCATAACACTACTTTAGTTTTGGGTTTAGTTAACTTTTTTAAAATTAAGTCGAGCTTTTCATAAAATGTATTTAAGTTGCACATAGGGGGTGGTCGATAAATGCAAATAATGCTCAAGTCTAGCTTACGTAGTTCTATAGCGCAACACTCTATGACGCCTGGCAAAGACTGATTTGCAATATGTTTCAGTTCCTTGTATTCATGGCCATTCCTAACCAGTATGCAAGCGCCCCCACGCTTTTTAGAATCCCTCGCGTAACATGCCGCTAGCTTGAAATTTGGTATATTTAATAACGGTTCATGTCCCGACATTATAAAATGTTCCGTAATACATAATACGTCCAATTTTATATGTTTCCCCCAGAAATTTTCAATATGAACTGTTATAATGTCAGATTTATTTAAAAGTCCAGCAATATTTTGGTGCAATATATATACGCAATTATCATACACGAAAAAAGTTAATGTCAGTTATTGTGTCTACATGATCATTGAAAATGGTTTGCTCGATGTTACTATTGACAGCATATAGTTGAATTTCTTTTATACGAATGAGTATGTCATTGAAAATAGTTGCCATTCCACAATTATTTAGGCTGCCTGTACGTCTATTAAACATTTTGTAATCACAAGTTAAGTTTCTGTTACTGTCTAAAAAATAAGCATGTTCATTTGCTAGTATATCTAAATACAAAAGGTTATTGAAATTTTCAACTCGCCAATTGAACATTGTTGAGTAGTAACTGTATTTGTATGTCGGTGTACATATGACAATGTGAGTATGCTGTACTTTCTTAAGAGCCTCCCTTATATCAAAAATCATGCTGAAATAATCTTGAGTCGATATAAAATCTTCTTGGCCTATTAGAATAATGCAATAATCGTTCAAAGTGTAGTCTTCCAATTTTGTTTCTATGTTCATTAATAATTGCTTAGTGCTGCCATCTCTTACCAAGTAATGGCACAGGTTATAGTTACCAGAGAAAGTCTTTTCGGCTATTGGTAAAATTTTGTTAGTACTATTACAGCTTAGTATGCAGATTTTATGTTGTATAACATTCTGCTGGTGCAGCTGATGCTGCTGGTAGCCATCGTGATGATTTTCTAGTACTACGTCTGTGGGATTTAACATAGTCGTTGGCTTTTCGGGTATGTCTAATGGGGTTTGAGTATGTTTATGTTTAATTTCTCGTATTTTTTTCGGTGTTGAATTGTTCGAAATTGCATATTTTTTTGTTGACGCAATGGGACTGCATAATGTTGCTGTTTTATAAAGTTCATTTTTCTTTAAGAGATTGCTGTTCATGCGTTTGAGATCAGCATTTTCACTGCAAAGTGCTTCCACTTCCGTATGAGCACTCTTCAATTCGAGAGTAAGTTCCTCAATCTGTTGTCTCAGTTTTTTTATTAGTTCATGTTGGGTAGTAGAATCCAAAGTTGAGAAATCAGGCAGACTAGTGCAACTATCTTCACTACATAAAAATGTTGAAACTGCACTTTGATTGCAGACTGTACTAGAGTCCAAGGACGCGCGTTTTTGACGAAATGTTATATTGTCGAGAAAGTTCATGATTTTTTCTCTTCCCAAAAAAAGTCTTCTTGATTTTAAATTACTAATTAATTAATCCAATTATCGATTTTATTATCAATTCGGAACCTACAAGTGGCGCCCTCTTGTTTGTTATGATAAGTTTCTTTATAGCGCACTAACAGTTTAGTGGTAAGGTTAAGTTAATTTTGTTAGTCGCCACTAGTAGTTGTTACTTACTTCAGATTGACTTGGTAGCTCAATACTGTGTTGTATGTACTCGTATACTTTATAATCTAAAAACTTATAAAGAAATTTCAATACTATTCCTCCCAAAAAATCTTCTTCATACTAAGATTCGAACTGCCGCCTTAGGCTTCACGACCATATTTACATATTATGTTCCTAAAAAAATAAAACAAGAATGATGGTCCCAAACTATTTAGGATTATGAAAATAATTTAAAGGCTCATACTAGACAAACGCATCTTATAGATTATTATTTCATTTAAGACTTCCTATTATGTGATGTTTTAAATATATGTTTTATAACTAATGGGTAATTTTTTAAGCGTAGTTTTTTTTAAATCGAATAAAACACTCAATTTGCATCATATATTCAAAATTTTTATTTAAATTGATAACTTGGCCTTTGCCATTTACATTTTAAAAATAACTTCATGTAAATGTTGTCCGCGGCTCCGTTTCAAACGGTCCATTCGGAAGGTCCAATTTTGCGTCACTTTTTCGAGCATTTCGGCCTGTATCCCACGAATTACGCGTGTTATGTTATCCTGTAAGGCTTCAATCGTGTTCGGCTTGTCCACATACACTAACGACTTTACATAACCACACAAGAAATAATCCAGGGGCGTCAAATGGCATGATCTTGGCGGCCAATTCACAGGGCCATTTCGAGAGATAAGCTGCTCACCAAATTCATCCTTCAACATGTCCATTGTTTCACGAGCTGTGTGGCATGTGGCACCGTCTTGATGAAACCACATGTCAACCAAGTTCAACTCGGCCAACTGGGGCAAAAAAAAGTTGCGTATCATGGCTCGATATCGTTCGCCGTTGACGTTAACGTTTCTTCCACGGTCGTCTTTGAAAAAAAATGGACCGACGATGCCACCAGCCCATAAACCACAACAAACTGTCATTTTTTCGGGATGCATCGATAATTCTTGTATGGCATGTGGCTATTCATCACTCCAGATGCGACAGTTTTGTTTATTTACATATTCGTTAAGCCAGAAATGAGCCTCATCGCTGAACACAATTTTTCGATTAAAACAGCGGATTTTCATTGAGCTGTTCTAAGGCCCATTCACCAAAAATTAGACGTTGTGGTAGGTCATTCGGCTTCAATTCTTGCAGAAGTTTAATTTTATAGGCTTTCAAACCTAAATCAACAAGTAAAATTTTCCATGTGGTTGAGTAACACATGCCCAATTGCTGAGAACGGCGACGAATTGACATTTCACGATCCTCATTAACACTGGACGCTACGGCTGCAATATTCTCTTCAGTACGCACTGTACGCATGCGAGACAATGGTTTAATGTCCAACAAAGTAAACTTGCAATCGTTGAGCAACAATTTGCAATCGTTGCTCGTTTTAAGTCTTTCCATGATGAAATGGCAGGGTATACTGAAAACTTTTCACTTTGACAGATGACGTTTGGATGCCATTACCAACCAGTATTGCAGACCTGAAAAACTTAACTCTTAAAAAATCACCCGTTATCTTTACTTCAGAGTCCTACCTAAGACTTCAGTTTACTTTAAATTATCAAATTTATCTATCAAATAATTTATAACTTGTCTGTCAATGTCTGTACATTAAAATCAAACAAGATAGACACTTACAGCTGTATTTTTATTATACACTTACAGCTATATTCTAAGAACAAATTTTGATCCGATCTTAACTTGCGATTTAAAAAAAAAAAACAATTCTCAGATCTAAGCTAATTGGGTTCAAATTACATTGATAAAAGTAAAAATGTTATAAGTCATATGCTTTACAATTTTAAATGTAAATGAAAAGTAATTGACCCGGCAAATATTTTACTCCAGTGATCACATCATCTTTGAGGTCAGTCGGTTAAGTCTTTTTGCTATTTCTATGTTCATGTTCCAACTATATGGATCCGTCATACTGATACATGCCAACATGAAAATTCTTTACTAAGGTGGTTTAATTGTATTGCATGCAAAGGCTATCCTAATGAAACAGGGCACAGCCATCTACGTCCCACGCCGGATATTTGTTTTCTTTTCTAATAGCGTGTATCTTGCTTCGTTAGGCTCTTGTGCGCAGTAGAAATAATAATATAATCTTTACCATTACCAGTTAAAGAAAGTATCGTGAGGAAAACTGAATATAAGTGAGGTACCATAATCTTTATGAAATCTGCCAAATAGTAGTAGTTTACAACACTTATGCTCAAGTTTTATAATAGTCTCCGTGGGGATTTTTTTTGTTCGTGGGATGTTGTAATTTTCATTATTTCAGGAATTAGGAAACAATGAAATGTGTATATATAATAGACTTTGTATATACCATAAACATTATGTTATTACTTCTAGTTCCTCTGGAGATGTCGATTCTAAAGAAAGAAAACTTTAACAATTGGTACGGTCTGAAGACGTACTATGCGGCGCTGCTAGTTACCGGCATGCCTCTACAGGTAATAGATTCAATTGTGTAACTGCCCGGTGTGACCCTAATTACTTGTCAAGTTAAGGTCATGCGTCTAGCTGTGACACTGTTTCATATTTATAATAGACTAACCACCTTACTTACTGATATTGCAAGTTAAAACTTCGAGTACCTACATTAAATATTTTAATTTAAAAGAGGAGATCCTATATAATTAAGCAGTATATACAATTGGCCTAAAACCACACGGACAAATCTACTAATTAAGAGAATCACTTACGAAAAGTATTATTTTACTTGCTCACCCCTGTATCCTACTGTTGATTAGGGGACTACAACGGCACTTCAGGGTTATTACACTCTGGGTGTAAAGATTTCGTCACTTTGCCGCGTTGTTGCCGTCATAGCAATGTTATGAACATTTTACATAACAATCTAAATAAATGCGATAAGTGTTAATGGATAGAATCAATTATTAAGCCTACGTTAGTCCACAAATGCTTGATAGAAAGCTATCCCATTTTGATGAAACTGACTGCTGAAATTATAGACTGACCCAAGACCGGAGAGTCCCACCTGTCAGTTACTGTTCTTATTTAAGCTTTATTGGGGCCGTCACGTACACGACGTATCAGAGAAAGACATCTCTTGCGCAAAAGTTTACTGTAATTACGCAGTATTTATATATGTGAACCTTTCAAAATAAGTATGTCTTGAAACAGAGTCAGTAATGTTTAATACTGAACAGAGGACAATCCAACAACGAAACTCAAAAATCACGGTTGCAGTAGGGTGACGGTCAGAGCAGACCCGTTATCCTCCATGTTTTTAAAGTTTACCCTCCTGATAACATTAACGGTTATTTTTCTTTGCAGGTTATCTATAGTTTCGTATATTCAGTACCATCATACTTCTTGTCAGGACAGCCTGCAGATCCTTACCGGTTCGTCATGTTTGTAATGACTCTCGCCAACGTAGCGCTTTTAGCGGAGGCAATGGGCAACGTTCTTGGGACTTGTTTTAATCCTGTGGTAAGTTGTCTTAATATGTATAATTTTCTCGTTACTATTTCATTAACAAGAGTTGGTGTTGTTTGCTTATTATTGACGCAGAGTTTAAGTTGCTGCCTCGCCAACCGCTGGGTGCTGGGTTTAACTCCATTACTACTCACTAGAGTTATTGAATTATTACTTACGAAGACACATTATTATTTTTATTAGGAACATATTGTTTCTATTTTAATGGCTAGTATATGAAAAAATAAAAATTACATTCAATCATTTAAATAAAAAATCATTTTCCTATTTTAGGATACATTTCCAAAAAATCTTAAAGGTTTTGTTATTTTGTAAAGGTCAATAACATAAAGTTAAAATACCCAGCCTGATAGTTTTTCTTTTTCACAAATAAAACATAATCCATCATTTGCCGATTCAGTAGTGCTATGCATGCTTCGACGCCTCATTTATTACTTTCTTGTGTACATATCTCTGCAACCCAACACAAACACCTAACAAACACCTTGAAAGAATAAAACAAAATTAATACATGATTTTATTATTGAAAAAGTTATCCTCTAACTCCTAAAGGGCAAAGACCCTTCCATCATGAGCTCAGGAACATGTAACAGGTAACAACTACCAAACGCAAATACCTGTATAGATAGAAATACAAGCCAAAAGACGTTGTCGAGGCTGTAAAATCTGAGGGTTTCCCTCGATTTCTCTAGGAGCCGACCATTAGATCCTGATTTGGTGGTAATGGAATCACTTCGGAAGTATACCATACAATAAAAATAATTTTGAAAATGGGCCTGCTATTGACGGAGAAATCACGTAACAAACATACAAAAGAAAACAGTTGAATTGAGTACCTCCTCTTTAGTGTTTTTGAAGTCGGTTAAAAATAAATTAAGTGTTCCTTCGTTCATCGCTGTCAATGACTTGGTAATTGATAGCAATAACCTTAGGTTGGAATTTGTGAGCCTTGTACGGTCTATTACTAAAGAATATTAGACGTTTATGCCTATTAACAAATTTTTAATACTTAACTAACGTGAATACTTTTTGGTTTCAGAATGGCACTTTCTTAGGAGCAATATGGACGTGCGCGATGATTGTTTACGCCGGCTTTTTGGTAATGTTTGCACACATGACCCCCGTCATGCGAATAGTTTCATACGGCTCCTTCTTGAGACATGCCTTCGAAGCACTCGTATTGGCAATGTATTCAAATGGTAGAGCACCGCTCAATTGTCCTGACACCATTTCTTATTGTCATTTGAGGTAAGGATTATCTTTATACTTATCAAATACTTAGTATTCCTTATATAATATTTTTGATTCAGTAATTGTACAATAGTTTTGACACAAACAAAAAAAACAAGAGACAGCTATAATAAAAACGGCTATAATTTTGCTTATAAAAATAATAATTTATTGAAGGCAATACGAAAAACATGCAAATGTTTTTTTTTGTGAATACGTACGACGCCGCACCAGTCAGTTATTAGTCACACATCATGTCAGTTAGTCATAGTCATTCTAAATTAAATAATAATATATCTCGTTTAATGGTAAAAAATATATATATTCACACTACATAATTCACGGCTAATACTGTTATCTCGTGGCGGCATCTTACTGCGTGCGAGCGTCGAACTGCGTCAGCCAGCGAAGCGTAAAAACTTAAAAAGCAGTTGATTACATACTTGATACTATTTCAATATTGTTTCGTACGCTGTTTCTTTTTTCTTCATCCTACATTCAACTGTATGTGACATATGAACATTTATTTGTATCATCTTATTTTATTTTTACAGATATCCTTCGGAAGTGATAAATCAACTGAGCTTCAAGCCAGACAACTTCTGGTTAGACACGTTGATACTCGTATTCGAAATAATTGTAGTCAGAATTTTAGCCTATTTTACATTAAAGAGAGGTGTAAAGAAATCGCACTGAGTGTTTCTAGCACCTGTTTATAGATGTTGGTTTGAAGGAACTCATAATTTTATGATGATTGATTTTATTTATAAACGGATATGGGTATTAAATTATCAAGTAAATAATTTAAGTTGATTTGTACAATGAAAATGTTGCCTGTCTTGCCGATGCACTGTTGTGCGTCAAGAATGCATCTGCAACAAGTAAAGAAAGCTTTATTTTATGCAATTACTTAAGTAGAACCTAGAATATTTATGAACGAAGACCTGACCAAGTCGGTTTATATTAGAATGGATTTCGGTTTATATTAGATTTAATAGATAATCATAACATAAACAATGCATTGATAAATTTATCCAGCCATGTACAGACGATAATGAGCCTGAGCATGTTCACTTAAGAGACTTCCAATTAGCCTTTCTTACAAAGTTTCGTACGTTGTTTAAATAAATTTAGGTATTCATCAAATATATATTTTTGTGATTCCCAATATCTAAATTTTATTAGTCAGAAAATCGAAGGACAATCTTCAGTCCGTTTAGTAAAATTATAACAAACTTTGACCTAAGTCGATTTATTTACAATCTGTTAAATCTTATTACTTGTACTTGTAAAATTTCAAGTAATATAAGTTAAAATAAAAATTTGGATAACTTTGAATGATTCCCATATCCCATTTTTATTAAATATTTTACAAAATCTAGAAAAATAATGGCCTAAATGTTCCGCAATTTCACTTTGAATGAATAACTACAATTTAAGACCAGGTTTATAAAACATTGATATCGTTCAAAGTTACCCAAATTGAGCATAACACGATGCACGGATTACGATAACTTCATCTGAAGTTAGCAAGTGTGCAGCAAATGATCTGGGCAAGTCTCTAATAATCTTAATAATAAAAATCTGTCATAGTTTTAAGAACCTATGTATTTTCTGTGATAAGCTTTTATTAATTAATTAGTACTTAAATATAAATATTTTCCAAGTGAATCTTGTTAATTCGCTAAAGGAGTCTAATACATGTATATTTGCAGTGTAATTGATTTTTACAAAATAAATATTAAAATGATACGGATGCATAATATTCTACATCTTATCAAATATTTTGAAATGCCTCTACTGTATTATACAAATAAACAAGTGCCAACACGGAATTTATTACGTATATTTTTATTTTACACTATTCTTAGCGAGTGGGCTTCAAATATTTTTGCTATTGACGAAATTATTGCCATATGATAAAAACAGCCAGGCAAGAAAATCTCAAGGGTCTTATGGTTTCTATTTTCAAGCCTCTTTTGTGATTTTCAATTTAGATCTCAATATGAATGGCATAAGGTTTTAAAATTACATTACATCACAAACGTGTCGTTGTAGGGTCTTAAGTTATCCTGTAAGGTGGGGATATTGGAGAGGTATTGAAACACTGAATGTTGACACAATATTAAATATATTTCAAAATACTCAATGATATATAAGGAAACATTTGTACGTCTTATATGCTATACACCACACCGCCTTTCTATAAAAGCATAAGATACAATAAGCATAGTTTTTTTTCGTATCGTAAATAACCTAAAGTATAACAATGTACAATCTGTTATTTATATTTACTTATAATGATTACATAAAAGGTTTTATAGATTAAGTAAACAAGAGTATATGTGTTATCTTAATTTCTAAAAATATAATTATATAACAAGTGAGATTTTATCAGTAGACGGGTCAGTAGGTAACTATCATCAAGTATTCGGTATCAACAATTTTGGGCGGTTTTTATGAATTAAATCTAATTTACCATTTTTATTTATTTGAACATTTGGTGTCTTTTACAACAACATACGGATCGGTATAAATACTATCCATTTTACTACAGTTTTTATTTCTTATCAAAATTAAGTCATTGGGTTTGTATACTATAGGGTTAATACGTTTGTCATAAACACATTTCCTTGCTGCTTTGTTTTTGAGTAGATTTTCCCTTGCTTTCTTTTGTGATGACTGTAGTCGATATTTCAGTTTTTCAGATTTTCAGATAATTATCATAATTGTATAGCGGTTCTACTGTATTGCTATTTAAGTTACTAGGAAGAAAAAAGATTTTTCCAAAGAATATCTCATGGGGAGTAAATTTAGTTGCCGAATGCACGGAAGTATTAAAGGAAAAAGACCACTATGGAAGCCATTGGCTCCATGATTCTTGATAGCTGCAGTTTGTATACGTAAGAAGGAATTTAAATGTTTGTGAGAATTTTCTAATGCGCCCGTTAGGCTGTAGATGTTAGGTGTTTTGTTTTTAAAAGTATACATTCCTGTTTAAATACTGAAGACATGAACTCGGATTCTCTGTCCATTGCAATTTCTCTCGGTATTCCATAGCGAAAAATTAACCATGTAACTAATACTTGAGCTACTTCCTCTGCCGTTTTTGAAATTAAAGGATGAGGAAGATTACAATCCCTATCCAACGGCCCTACTAAATCTAAGAATATTTTGTCGAATGCCGCTGTAGCCGTAGAAGAGATAACCATTGGCTCCTTAATACTTATAGTGTTTTTTTTTGACAATTTTCTCAATTTTTAACAAATTTTCGAACATCTTTCTCAAAACCTGGCCAGTAAAAATATTTCTTAATATTGTTTCACATCCTTCTCATGCCCGTGTGACCACTTGTGGGCAAAACGCCCTCGTTTCCATAGTTTGCTTATTTTGTTTTCTTAAATTATCTTATTCGTTTTTCTCTATAAACCTAAGTTCTACAGCATCTCTTGGTTTTGTATGACTTCCAATAACATTTGGCTGACCAGACCAATTGCGATTAGAAACCACATCACAAGGAGACTGTATTGTAGTATTCTGTAATTTTCGTGCTTGTGCTCGAGATGTTACATATACGTGTATATTCACCCACATGTTTTAATTGTTCTGACGTCAAAAAAAATCAGAGACAATGCATCTGCAGCTGCGTTGTCCGAACCCTTTACATACTCGATAATAAAGTCGTATTCTTCTAATATTAGTCTAAATTTCATGAGCCTGCTAGAAGGATCTTGCATATTAATAAAGATACACCAATAGACGCTGGTCTGTAATAATTTTGAATTTACGACCATAAAGAGGACGAAAATGTTTAACGGCCCACACTATTGTCAATAACTCCTTAATAGTGGGGTATCGCTGATCAACAATATTTAAACTTTTGCTTGCGTATGCAAAAGGTGATTATTATTATTACTTATAACCGCGCCGATCGCGTAATCAGATGCGTCTGTTTCCACTATAAATTTATTCGTTTTAGGAAAGTCTGGGTATTGTAACAGTGGTGGAGACATTATACACTGTTAAGGTTTCAAATAAATTTTGGCACTTGTTATCCCAAATAAAAGGCACATTTTTACTACACCATTTATTCAGTAGAAACGCCTTCGACGCAAAATTTGGTACAAATCTTCTGTAAAATTAACAAACGCTGTAAAACGCTTGACTCCGTCAACAGACTTTGGAATGGGATGATTTTTCACAATATCTATTTTCCCTGGATCCGGTACAACGCAAGCATTTCCTAAAAAAGTCACACTTTGCCAGATTAAGTTTCCAATTAACTTACCTTAATCGTTCAAAAACGTCTTGTATATTTTTTTATTTTTTCAATAAATTTCGACCATAGACTGTTAAATCGTCTTGATATACAAAGAATTTTTCGTTTGTGAGACCTGCCATAGCCATTGATTTAAATATTGACATGCCACGTCATCATATTTTTATTTTTATTTCTCAACGATTGCCTAAATTAAAAAACTGCTTGAATCGCTCTCGTTTGAAGTACAAACATAGTTTGAATAGCGGCAGCATTCCCCCACAGTAGAATACCGTACGACATTATGCTATGAAAATAACTGAGTAAACAGGTCGTGCTGTATCAACATTAGTCAACTCTAGAATTTGTCTTCGTATGCTGCTGAGCTGAGTCTACTCGATAATTTATCAATATGTGGGCCCCAATGTAGCTTTATATCTAGTGTTATACCTAAAAATGTCTTAGTATCCACAAGGACTAACTCGATATCCTTAATCATCACAGTGTGGTTTTCACTGGCTTGACGTTTGGCATGGTGAACCACAACACAGCACATTAACTTACATACTTTTAATTCTAATTATGCGTTTTCGTTGACAGTTGCGATAAATAAAAAAAGGTCATAATCATAATTCCATGGTTTTATGTCAAAGGATATTGAAATTGTGTGAGTTACGCTTATACAAAGTTGTTTCGTCTTGAAAAGTATAAAACGTCAAACGGTACCTCTAAGATTCGATGGACTACAGCTATTACTGCCACGCTGCGCTGTGGCACATTAGGGTTGCATTGACGAGAAATGAGGAACAAAACTGAGCCGAAAAATATATAGAAATCATCTTTCAGGTGGTTTGTATATTGTGTCAAAATTTGAGCTCAATCGGTGCAGAGGTTTTAGAGTTTTTGAAGCTTACACAAACCATCTTAACATTTTTATACATTTAAGATAACGTTATAAACGTAAAATTAAATTTAAATTGGATTGCCACACCTACCCTTCCTAACCTCACTTACTCTGTGAAAACCAACAAAAGAATTGCTCCACACCGGTTTTCTGTAAGGTTTATCACTCCGGTCACAGTAGACCATATATGTCGAGGAGCTTCTGACTCCTAAGTTGCAGGCGTTCATGGGCGGCTTTGGTCACTTTCCATCAGATGACCCATCTGTTCGTTTGCCCTCTCTTCCTTGAAATATTTTTCGTCTGATGACGGATCAAGAATACGGAAAGTGACCATCTCTATTCATCACGTAAGTGTCGTAAGAGCCGACTAACGGAGGAAACTACTCGTAAGTAGGACAACAGCTTTGCAAAGAGAAGGTAAACTTGACTCAACCCCTATACCAACCGATCTGGCCATCGTGGTACACCCGGCCAAAACCTCCTTTCTAAGGAGAGGCCTATGTCCAGCAGTGACGTATTTAAGGCTGTTGATGATGATGGTAAAAGATTATATGAAATATATAAAAACTTTACATATTAACAGAGAGAGAATACACTTATTTTCTTCAAACATCCTGCCTGTGACTTTGAATGCAGCCGAAACAGTACATTTATAGATACAATATTCTACCTCCGCTACATTCAAAATGAGACCTAATTTATGTATTGATACAGCCTCGTGTCAAAGCGTGCCTCGATTTACCTTGATTTGATATAACTCTGTGCAATTTCTCGAAATTAACATGTGTGATTTAAAATTTTTCTCCGAATAATTTGCAATTCATAGCGTTACTGAATGTCACTGAAAACTAAGTAAGTTTTGCAGAATGGAACTTGGTGCGGACAATATAGTAGTATACAGTAGATACTCAATAGTTAATTAAATGTATTGTAGAATCTTGAAGTATTTCAACTATCAGATTCATCAAAATTCTGATCTCTGTCAGCCATTTAAACCCATAAGTATCTCTATACTTAGATGATCTCCCACGAGGAGGCACTAATTCCCTTCTCATTTCAATTCCCTTGGGAGGATCCGTACACTGGTAACTGCATTCTGAATGTAACACTCACGCTTATTGGTTTCAAATTCGAGGTCCTAGCCACTTATACACTAAGATGCTGCACAATCGCTATGGGCACAAGCTCAAAGCATATTGTATTCATACTAAAGTCCATCGTAGTAACAGTCGGTATAACCATGAGCTCACGTTGCTCGCTCTGACTTCATGGAAGTTTATAAAACTGCACGGCAAATTTTATCAGGCATTAAGTGGACCCTATATAGACTCAACAGTTCTGGTCGGAGAAACCAAGTAAAAGAATAGATGCTGAAACATGGTATGAAACACTGCAGAAACTGGCGCAACAATTGTACATGGGACGACTGCGTGCATGACCTCGAAAATAATCCAACTTTAACTTAAATTTTTGGTTAATGTTGAAATACCCCAGCTACGTTAAGTTTAATGGAGTAATAATAGATCTCATCACTGACGCAATGATTGTTGCCGCTTAGAGCGTCATGCAACTATACTCGATACCGCTGTTTAACATGAAAAGGATAGTGTAAAAGTTGAAAAAGATACATAAATGAAATAATTTTATTTTTCCCACAAGATTGTGGAATATGAATTAAGTGATAATTGTGCTAATAGTAGTGTCTGCTCAAGGTTAGCCATGGTCATACCCAAAAGCCACAAACAGCACCTTAAGAGAGTAGAATAATTAAATACGAAACATCGTTGATTGTTTTAAAGTATTTATTTTTGTGACTATTCATGTAGGCAATTTTTTTAAGAAGCATGTTATGTATACCACAAATATTGGCTTAGAATAGAAACTCGAAATGTATATTAAGAATTTGTGAAAACCAAATAAGCGTGATTAAATTACAGACAGCGTTATATTGACAAACCTAAGGTTTTGTCTACGACGCAGGACATCTCGCAGCGCGTTATTCCGTTTACAATTAAAATTTCAAAATCTATTTCTATTCTATATAAATAAATAAAATTGAAGTGTCTGTTTGTAATATTAAAATAATAGGTTTTCTCATGCTCACACGGTTATTTGAAAGATACCTATGCCTAAAAACCAGTTTAAATATTTTTTGTCTGTCTGTTTGATCTGAGTAATCTTCTAAACGAGAAGGCCGATTTTGATAATATTTTATTACCAGGTAGCTGTTTATGTAAGGAGTAACTTGACTTAAAGGTCTTAGTTACCAGGTCATTAAATTACACAAAAAAAAAAATAAGACAGCAGTCAGTTTCATGTGTCAAAGTCAAAATGCACTATTAAAATTATTTTGACAATACATCACCTAGTTTGACAAACGTCAACTTGCTCAGTTGCTCTGACGTTAGAACTACTTCCTGCTGGAGGTTGCAAGTTCAACATACTTTCCGACACCTACACAAAAAGTAAACAATTCAATTTAATCTTATAGTAAAAACTGTCTCATCTAACCTAATTTTATGAGTTACTCAAGAGATAGTGAAGTGTGCCGGTGTTAGAGTGCTATAAAATAACAACAAAATTTTTATAAATGTAAGTTTTTATAAACTTTTAATAAACTTTTTTAATTATGTTTTAAATCACCCAATTATTTTTAATTAATTATTATTTCGTCACAGGTGGAAAGTCATTTTAATAAGTTCTTTACTTATCGGCGCGGTTAACCTAACCGACGTTACATACTATGAAATATTAGGAATATCTAAAAAAGCAACTGCTCAGGAAATACGGCAGGCTTACAAAAAGTTAGCTGTGAAGTTTCACCCGGACAAGAATCCTGTAAGTATAATTCCTTTACTTCTATTAACTTCATTCAATAATTGTAGACCTAGTCCGTTTTGTTTTTGTCCACAGTTGTTATATTGATTAACTTTAGGCAAAAACCTTGATTCTATTAAATTAGTTAAAATGTAAATTTATCACTCATCATAATTGTACATTATCTTATTATTATTATTATTAATTTGTGCAGTACTTGCTAGATTGTACACACTGCTAACAACAACTCATTATAGAGAATATGTAAATTATAGTTAACCTACTAAGAAAGACTTAAAAATTTGTCAAGCCTTAACTATTTATCTACATATATTGTGTTTGTGGGAGAGCGATGCTAGGTGACATAAGGGTCTAGTATGACCAGAATAATACCACAGCTTCATAGAAAAAGACTCCTGTCTCCTAAGTTTCAGGTGTCCGTGGGCGGCAGTTGTCACATACCATCAAGTAACTCATCTGTTTGTTCGCCCCTATAAAATAAAGAAATGTCTTTGAATTGGTATTTTTCTTTATTTTAAGTTTTTTCATTATATTTTACTTAGTTCAATTCACTCTAACCAGAATAAATTGTACAAAACTATAAGAAATAATAATAAATTTATTTCTCAGTTATTTCACAAGTGGCACATAAGTTTTATAGAGAACTAGCAGACCAGCCCCGCCTTTGCACGGGTGCAAATTTTACGAAATTCTAAATTTTTCGCTACTATAATATGCATGTATTTTACATATAAACCTTCCCCTTGAATCACTCTCTCTATTGATGAAAACCACATTAAAATCCTTTGTGTACTTCGAAAAATCTAAGCGTACAAGAAAAAAAAGTGACTTCATTTTATACTATGTAAAGATATTATATACAAGAATAACCCAAATCTGTCAGTAGATAATAAATTTGGTAGTTGTGATTATTAAAGAAATATTTAAATAAATATCTATGATGCAATTGGTATTAATAAATTAAACATTATTAAGTTACTTCTAACCTTTTTAAATCCTATAGGCCTAGATAAGGTAGACCAATAATCCATGTTTATATTATAAAGTTATAAAATAAAATAAAAATTACCCTGCCACACTTTGCTGTGGTGCATTGTGGTTACATAAAAACCGTCTTCGATGTGGGTTGTAGGTCAATTGATTTACTATCGGTAAAGACGCGTTCGGGGTACAGCACAGACTGGAAAAATGTCAGCAAAGACTGGAGGACGCTTAGCTTGAAAATCAGCAGAACCAAAACTGAACACAGGTTCTGTGATTTCGGTGGTCTCTCCAGTCTTGCTGCTATTTCACTGAATTTAAGAGCGATTCCATTCTGCACCAATGTCAAGTACCCCGGGTCGCTATTACAAAGTTATGGCAAAATAGATGAAGTGGCAGCGGGTAACAGAAACTATTTGCGATCTCAAGTTCCCCATTGCATTAAAGGGACAACTTAAAGATCTATAGATAGACCTATTAAGTTGGAGATTTTTAGAACCAGCATTTTCAGAGTTAATTATATTCGAAATAAATTTTATTCAAAAGCCATGTTATCTTAATTTAAAATCAGTCATTTGTTTAGATAGTATTTTGTTTGTGTAAAATTGTGGTAGTTTTTCGCGCCATTGATAATGAATATTTTTTGACACTATGTAAAAACTTGTGAAATAAAATGACCAAGACCATAACTACCTTGAACTGCTTAGTTTCTGCTTAGATGCAATAATGTTTCTAACTTGAACTAGCTATTGTTTTTATATCTGTTTGAAAGCAAAAACAAGGATCCATAGACTTTAGGTTACTTCTTTCAGAATGAAGAACAACAAGAAAAATTCCTAAAGATCACAGAAGCGTATGAGACATTAAAGGATTCGAGTAAGAGACAAAACTATGACCGTTATGGCTCACAGTCATATTCGCGGAAGTACGACTATCGGTCGCAGTCGGAGTACGACAACTTGTTCTACAACGGATTGTATCACAATGACCCTTATGTAGATACATTAACAGGAGCTTCCTTCGGTAAATACCATATGAATATTACGAGGTTTCGATATTCGCCAAATATTTTTATATTTCACCAGCTTTTGCCCGCGGCGTCGATTATCGCGGTAAAAACTAGCCTATGTAGCCTAAAGTATCTTTATACCAAACTTCGTCTAAATCGGTTCAGCGGTTTAAGCGTGAAGAGGTAACAAACAGACAGACAGACACACTTTCGCATTTATAATATTAGTATGGATGTCAAATAACTACCGTGTACCTTCTGAGGCAGTAACTGTTTTTTTTTGCTTTTAAATGCAATGATAAAAAAAGCTGTTTCTAATTTCATGTAACTTTTTTGTATAATAAGTACTAATTAAGAATTGTTATTTATTTCAGACAGTTACTTGAAAGATGGTTTTCACTTCATAAACTTCTACTCACCTTTCTGCCCTCCTTGCCAAAATGTCGCCGATGACTGGAAAAAGCTCGCCGAAATGTATAAAGGAATTGTAAGTATTTCACTTTACCTTTTTTATGAAGTTGAGCCAGATGTCGTGATGTGTTAAGAGGGGATCCAACTTTTAAAATGAGACCCTCTTTTTATGTTGTATTTTAAAATGTAGAGGGTAGCCCTAAGTATAAACACGGGAAAGTACGATTATCTTAAACACTTTATTATTTATAATTTCAGGTAAAAATTGGTGCAGTAAACTGTAAATATCACAATTCATTTTGTTACCACAACATGAGAATAAGCAGTTATCCGTCACTGCTCTTCTATCCCAACGTAAGTATCAATAGCAACACTTTGCTCTTAAAGTTATATTAACATAACAGACGCCCTTTTATAGGTTTTAATAGGACTAGCGCGAATTAATTTCACATCAATTCAGTTCAGTTGATGTGAAATTAACTCACACTACGCCCTCAGCTGTTTTTTAAGTGTGGAAACACAAAACGCACTTCGTGAAGTGATTATTTGGAATCGAAACGAATAAAACCAGACGGTGTTAGGTATAACCCTGGAAGAAATACAATGGACCTAAGGTTTATTAAGGCGCTCTTGCAGCGCGGTGTGTAGGTGTGCAAATATTACCTCACTAGCGCAATAGGCAAGCGGGCTTTCCTATTCGCACAGCATACTCGTAGTTAGCTTACAATAATGCGTTTCGTTACAGTGCAGTTTGAAGAGAAGAGACCTTATTTACCAACATACTTAAATTGGTTTTATCAATATATAATAATTAATATTTCTCTTTCTATTTCAAAGATAATTTCAAAAATTAGTGTATTGTATAATATTAGTGTCAGACACACTCGAAATTGAAGCTTATGTTAAAGAGCCTGATGATGCTTCATTTTCTTTTCCTGAGCTAAAAATTTGTTTCGGATTGGCATGCCATGCGTGTGCCTTGGATCAACCAATTCCGACAGTAAGCAGGTCAAATAAAATTGAACCAACCTTGGTTCCATTTTTTCTTTTCAGAATTCGTCGTCTTTTTCAATATATTGTATAAACACTGGTTCATTTTATGATACCCACAAACCAAAAAGACATTTTTAATGACCTGTGACATGTAACTGACCTTGAATTTGATGAAACCAGTTATCGATTTTTTTTTTGTTGCTCAGCTGAATTTTATTATTTTCTAGGGCTTGCTGCAATCCTTCTTTGGCAGCAACTAATGAGCATTTCACTTCAACCAACATATCATTCCCAATCAAGCCATCAGGTGTAGGCCCAATAAATGGGTATTGCTTATCAATAAAAAGTCCACATGCTTAAATTTTCAATTGGTTTTCTTGCTGAATTTGTTGTATGGCTTGTTTTTCATTTTCAATCCCATGAGCTACCGAGGTTACTTGCGACAAATTGTTTTTATACAAAATATTTTTAACCAAAGAAGATGTATCCGTAGAGGGTTTTCTCTTGCAAATATTTCCAAATTCGAAGCTGTTATTTTTTTTTCTTATTTCAAGCCACTCTCTCGAGTCCCTTTGTAGGACGGTTGATGACCATAGTCGTGCTATAGGTCGTCATTAGCGTTTTGAAATCTACGTATCTTTTTTACTGGATGTTTCAAATCCAATTTACGTTTATGGGCCCTTTTTTTCGATGAACTTCAAAACTCTGCTTGAAGGACTTCTATTTAACATTTTTTTTGCTCAGCTGAAATGGCGGAATTCCGGATAAAAGATACGACTGCTACTGCACATCTTCCTTGGTACAATATGATAAAATATGATTGGGAAATTCTATTTTTTCAACAGTCAAATTCTGTGTTTTGTAGGGTTTCACCTTTAAAATTTTAGCATATGTGGAAGAGTCACCATTTGCTATAAGTCTTTGGTATATTACTCCGTACATAGCAATAGATGTTTTAAAACCCTTTTTTATTTTTTATATTTGCTTCCATAGAGGTAGATGACCATCATAGTTTTTTGAAGCATTTATGTTCTGGAGGCGTTATGTTATTTTTACTAGCCCGGCTACAAACCAAACAGTATTTATTTTTTACACCCATGTACAAGACCGCACCTGTTTTTCTGCCAATAATAGCAGCAGCGCCAGAAAGGGCCTTTAAATTGGTGCCATAAGAGCGCGCACTCCATGCTCCATCGGCACACACATCGATCACTGGATATCCACCTTTAGTTCGACTTTCGGATACGGCTATTTCTCTCTCCTTATCTATTACTGCTTGCATAGCATCAGCTGCTGTCAGTTCCCAATGTTCATATACCTTGTTTTGCAACTGTTATGTGTCGAAAAGACGGGTATGTCTATGGCAGAAAATAATTTTTCAAGCTGCCCGATTAGTCCAGGCACGTTGAATATGGAGAACAAAAAAATGTTATCCAGAAACCTACGCTTTTAATTGGTTAAAAGGGTTAAAGTCAACATAAGGAAAATGAGTTATGTGCCCAAGAAAGTTAGGGGATGATTTTAGGGGTTGAAAAGGGGGGAAAATGGATACATCTCGTGTTTTTTGCAATTTCACGCGAAATTTGATGTCCCACTGAAAAACGTTAAATACAAAAGTTGTAGATCTTGGAAAAATCTACAACTTTTGCATGGGTCATTTTTTAATATAACCTCAAAATTTCAGAAAAAATGCAATAAATCAAAAATAAAATTGTTTTTCGTTTTTTACTTGTCAATTTCTCAAAAATAAATAATTTTAAACCTAACTTGCTGAAAGTACTCCTTTTTGTGTCCCAAACAACAAAAACAAAATTTTAGATTGAAATATTAAAACCTGTTTGAAAAATTCATTTATTTCGGTCCGAGACACGTTGTTTTCAAAGTTACATTTTACTACTTACAATCATCGTAGAGAGGTCATACAGGGCTCATTTTTTTCGTTTTGACGTCTACTTTTTAATGAAATAATAAAACAATACAGCTTTCATTTAAAAACATGTCTAAAAATTGAAAAATATAAAAACTTCATTTTGCAAAAACAAATTTTTTGGTTATTGTTAATAATTTGTTATAAATAAAAAAATAATTCAAAAACTAATAAGACCATTGAATTGTACGGGAAAAAACACGAAGGAACATATGTTTTCCTATTTAAATACATTTTTTATTTTTGTACAATACTGCTATAAACATTGTAATAGCATATTCCGTGTAGTTGAAAGATGTCAGGTAAGTACATACAATGCGATCGACTTTTACTTTAATAAGAAAAGTTCCTCATTTCTCGCGATGAAATTAATTAATTCAATTGTTGGTCTTCTGCATTGTTTTACTGGATGTAATACAACATCCGCTTTTGCTGGCAAAGGAAAAACAACAAGTTTTAATTCGTTGATTAATGCTCCTGAGTTAAAAGAATTAGCACTGCCCTTTTATCAATGCAGATCCCAAAGTCATTGCTCGAAATGGTTGTAAACTGATTGCATCGATTTATCAATCAAAAAAATCTAAAATACCACTGGATGATTTAAGATTTACACAGTTTAAATTATTAACTGCAAAGTCGACTTTTAAATTCGAAAAATTACCCCCTTCTATTGGAGCAGCAATTCAACACTCGTACAGAGTATACTTCCAACTACAAATGTGGCTTGGACATACATTACAAGCAACGAAATGGGGCTGGAAACAAGTGATTGTAAATAATACAAAACTACTTATGCCACATTATACAGATGACTCACTTATTCCAGATGAGTTACTTAAGATAATTTGTTGCAGTTGTGAGACTGGATGTGAGGGCAATAGATGCGGTTGCAGAAAACATGAGTTGCAATGCACAGAGTTATGCACAAAATGCCATGGTTCTGAAAGTTGTTCAAACGTTGAAAAAGTTGCAAAGGATTTAAGTGATTTTGATGAAATTTCTGATAATCCTGATGAAATTGAACAACCATTTAACATCTTCAACTCAGAAAATCTTGCTATGGAAAAGTTTCCAGAGGAATTTGATGAAGAAACGATTGAAGATGATGAGGAAGTCACATATTTCGACGAACAATTAATCGATGATGATCAGCCAAACTTACAATTAGCGAAAAGACAAAAATTGGTCTAGTGTGCATAATGTATTCATTATTAAATATGTAATAAATCGCATAATAAATGTATAATATTTATGTATATAAAGTGTAAATGTATGATATTTATCAGTACTTGAGCATATTTCATTAAAAAATCAACTTGATTAAAATTGAGTTTTTCATTATTGTCATTTACCTCCATTATTTTTTTATTATTATTATTAGTAGTAGTATTGTTAACAATCTATTTTGTTCATATAAATTTCAATTATAAATTCGGTGCAAGTTAAATTAGATTCACAATTCATTTAAAAAAAATCATTCAATTATTTAAAAGCATGTTTTAAATAATTGTATACAAAAGTTAATTATAAGACGATTTTTTTATCAAAATATGTAGGAAATAATTGAATAAATTAATTTCATCGCGAGAAATGAGGAACTTTTCTTTTTAAAGTAAAAGTCGATCGCATTGTATGTACTTACCTGACATCTTTCAACTACACGGAATATGCTATTACAATGTTTATAGCAGTATTGTACAAAAATAAAAAATGTATTTAAATAGGAAAACATATGTTCCTTCGTGTTTTTTCCCGTACAATTCAATGGTCTTATTAGTTTTTGAATTATTTTTTTATTTATAACAAATTATTAACAATAACCAAAAAATTTGTTTTTGCAAAATGAAGTTTTTATATTTTTCAATTTTTAGACATGTTTTTAAATGAAAGCTGTATTGTTTTATTATTTCATTAAAAAGTAGACGTCAAAACGAAAAAAATGAGCCCTGTATGACCTCTCTACGATGATTGTAAGTAGTAAAATGTAACTTTGAAAACAACGTGTCTCGGACCGAAATAAATGAATTTTTCAAACAGGTTTTAATATTTCAATCTAAAATTTTGTTTTTGTTGTTTGGGACACAAAAAGGAGTACTTTCAGCAAGTTAGGTTTAAAAATATTTATTTTTGAGAAATTGACAAGTTAAAAACGAAAAACAATTTTTTTTTTTGATTTATTGCATTTTTTCTGAAATTTTGAGGTTATATTAAAAAATGACCCACACAAAAGTTGTAGATTTTTCCAAGATCTACAACTTTTGTATTTAACGTTTTTCAGTGGGACATCAAATTTCGCGTGAAATTGCAAAAAACACGAGATGTATGCATTTTCCCCCCTTTTCAAACCCCTAAAATCATCCCCTAACTTTCTTGGGCACATAACTCATTTTCCTTATGTTGACTTTAACCCTTTTAAACCATTTGAAAAGGTATG